CAAGTCCTAGTGGGCCCACACTCTGAAAAGCCTTGCAAACACTGCGTTTGCGGGGCTTTTCTCTTTCGAGAAAGTTTACACGCTTGAGGCTGGTGTAAAATTGGTGTAAAAGACCTGCATTTTTCTACGGGTGAGAAAATGTTTATCATGGTAAAGTTATTACCCTGAAAAAATAAAATAATCAAAAACTTTCCACATCTACTTGACAGTTTTTAACAGGCGTTCATAGTGTCTATTAGGTTAAATCCTGTGCCTATATGGTATGGACGTTTTTATAGCTATAATTGTACTTCTGCTCATTGTAGCAATAGTGATTCGGATATTGGCATGGTTATATGGCCGCTTCTTGCGAAAGTATGATGCCTATTCTGACGGTCGATTAAACCGTAAGATCGAACGGCATAAAAAACAAATGGAACTTGCACATCTCAAAGAAGATTTGAGGCAAAAGAAAGAGGGTTTTGACCATCAGTTTAGAGAAAGTTACAGGGAAGACAAACGCCTGCAACTGGAAGAAAAGAAGGTGTATAATGCTATGTCGCTCGAACTGGCAAAACTGAACATAGACAGCCACAATGGTGAATTGGAACGTTTGCAGTCTATGATCGGGGCAATGCTTAATTTTTCAGGTGGGTTATCAAACCAGAAGCATCAGCAAACCATGAGTCGGATAGAAGCACTAAGAGCTCTTGCCGAGTCAGAAATATACAGCCTGAATAGATTGGATGAAACACAGCGGGAACTACAAGCTCAAAAGTTCATCAATACAGCTACCAAAAAAGTAGAAGACTATTATAATGAATTACAAGATGGCATAGACAATCTTAATGGAGAGTATTGAGTCCAATAATAGTGATAATAGTTTCAGATGATTAAGCAATCGCTTAAGTTGAAAAATTCTTCGACAAAGACCCAAAATCCATATAGCACCGGTTCGATTCTGTCCTTTTTATACCACCGCAATCGGCTTTTTTCGTTCGATGCTAGGACTATATTCTTTGCCAGTCACGATAAAGAACAAAAGTATCATCATTTGCCGATAAGTATTACAGCGTCATTTTCACCCCGTTGTGTTTCAACCAATCTTCATGCGCTCTGTAATTAGGCATCTTCTTATCCAATTCATTCCAAAAATCTGTTGAATGGTTAGGATACTTCAAATGCACCATTTCGTGAGTAATGATGTAGTCAATGACAGGGATTGGAGCCATGACACACTTCCAGTGAAAATTTAGTGAATGATTTGGGCTCCAGGATGCCCAACGATTCTGAAGTTCCTGAACCTTAATTGTACTAGGCTTGTCTGAAAATTTCTCTGAGATTAACGCAAGGCGTTCGGTAATCTTTTGCATAGCCCACTGTTTATAAAATGCAATGAATACCTGCGCTGCCTTACCAACGCATCTTTTATCTAAATGAAAATATCCCCCACTAATTTTTAACGGAACATCTTGCTCTTCATTAATATTTAGACGATAGTTGCGGCCTAGATACAAGAAAGACTGACCGTTCACATAATCCCTTCTTACTTTCCCCTGGTTAAGTTCTTTCCATTTAGCAAGCTTCTGGAATATCTGGTATTCTTTCGCCCTGACAGCCATTTCAATTTTTTCATCACTTGCGGTAATTGGCGCAAGAACGCGCACTGAACCGTTCCGCTCAATAAATATGCTGACGGTTTTTCGACGTTCCGTCTTTTCAATCGTTATGTAGATTCCCTCTAAAATCATCTCAGGTCTGCTTCTCTATTCTTGGCTAATTTCATTAATTCACTGGTTAATTCGGCCGCCTTCGACGATAATCCATCAATTTTTGAGTAGTGAATTTCATCTTCAATTTGACCTTCCATCCTTCTTACTTCAGGTTGTCTATTCCAGAAGTTTGATACCGTAGCAGACTCTGAAAGTAGGCTAACAACCAAATGAGTAAGGTCTATTAGTTCATTTATGCTCACGTCGTTCTCAATCCCTAAATTGCTTTTCAGCAGATCAAAGAATGGCGCTTGCTGACTGGATATTCCTTCTGTGTCTTCCCTACGACCTTCAGCCATTTCATCCCGAAGGTTACTGAGTTCCTTTACAATCTCCTCCCCATTTTTCTTTGTATGCATTGAGAATCATCTCAAGACGATCTTTGAATCGGCCATAAAGAGCGGGGTCTTTGTCTAGATTTACTTTGATATGCCAGCGTATTGCATGCTCCATTTCCGATGCTTTTGATTTTGGCGTATGATTCAGATAGTCAACTCTGTTCCTGAATTCATCAGACAAAATAGAAACCTGCTGAACTTTTGTGTCAATGCCAAGGGAAAGTAAATGTCGATCAATCAACTTGCGCACTTTTTCAGAAGCCCACTTTAAGTCCATAGTTTCATCTTTATAGCGCTCTTTGATTCGCCATAATAGATAGCCCAATCGCTTTGCGGGAATCCAGTATTCTGTACCGGCCTGCACATTAAACAGCAAGTCTAAGCTGTCAAAGAAACTCTTTGTGTAAGTGAGCAGTTCTGCCCGGAATTTAATGTTCTTTGCTTGCTCAATACACGCCTCCGCAAAATCAAATTCTTTTGCGGTATCGGTGAATGTTTGTTGCAAAAATGGGCTGATATCCTTTAATCCATTATCAATAAATAGATCAAGTAACCGCTTATAGCGTGCTTCCAGTACCGGAATTTCCTTGTTAATATCTCTGAATACTTCCAGGAAAGTGTTTAAGCTCTTTTTATCTTTATCTGTGTAGATGGCCAATGCCTCGCCGAGGTGTTTAGTAACACCAAAATAGTCCACGATCAAACCAAAAGATTTACCGCGTTTGGTTCTGTTTACTCTTGTAATGGCCTGGAATAAATCGTGCTCTTTCAGACTTTTATCAAGATACATTACCTGTTCAATAGGTGCATCAAAGCCAGTAAGCAAACGATCGCAAACGCAAATGATGCCGATACCAGTCAATGGCTTTTCATAATTGTAGTCTGCTTTAAAATTTTCAATGGCGTTCGTGTCCAAAGCTTCTCTCCTAGCCTTACTAATATATCCCGGCTCATTGTTCCCGATACTAGAAACAACTGCGGCCACTTTTAAGAATTCAAGTTGCTTGAGCAGTTCTTGATCCTGATCTTCTGCGGGTGAAGCTTTAATTACAGCAATCTTCGACTGGATAGCAAGCTCGATCTCGTACTTATATCGTACCGCCGCTACGATGCTTGAAGCCACTACTTGCGCTTTAAAGCCGTTTACTAAAATGTCATTGTAATAATGCTCCACAATATCTTTAGCAATGGTAGCAATTCGTTCTTTAGATTCTAAATAGGCGATCAGGGAACCGTACCGTCTTTGTATTTCCTCTTTCTCCGCTTCTGTTCGTTGCTGGAACATATCCTCAAACTCTGCGTCAAAGACTTCCTTGTCGTCCAGCTTATCTTTCGACACTTTTCCGATGTACTTAATCTCAACCGTCGCGCGGTCTGCAACAGCTGTATCAAATTTGTAAAAGTCAATAAAGCCACCGAAACGCTCATGGGTCTTTATTTCATGGCGCTCTGTAAGTAATGGAGTGCCGGTAAATCCTACGCGTACTGCTTTAGGAAAGGCAGAAAAAAGATTGTCGCCCATATCACCACCCTGCGTCCGGTGCGCTTCGTCGATCAGTAATAGAATACGGTCACTGTTATTGATGGTTTCAAATTTCTCAAACTTGGGCACTAATCCTGCATCAATAAGCGATTGCGCAGACACGCTTGTTTCGTCCAGGAATTTATGGATCATAACCATGTTCACATCTCCGGTGTCATCACTCAACTTGTAAAGGCTGTTCCTTCTATCAATTACATGGACCGGCTCGCCGGTTAATGCTGCCGTTTCCGATAGCTGATCTTCCAGGTCGGTTCGGTCAACGATGAAGATCACCTTTAGATCTTTTAGGTCATCACAGCTTCTTAGTTTCCGAATCAGGAAAACCATTGTCAGGCTTTTGCCACTGCCTTGCGTATGCCAAACCACGCCACCTTTTTCAAGTGGTGTATTTCCAGCCCTATAATTCTTTATTATTTTACCTACAGCCCGGTACTGATTGTAGCGTGCTACCGTCTTCACCTCAACACCCTTCTTAATTTCCATGAACAGCGTGTAGTGCTTTAAGAGATCAACGAGGATCTCTTTGTTCAGCATACCTGCTATCAATACTTCTTGTCGCTCTTCGTCAGGGTATATCTGAATGGTGCGGTACTCTTCGGGGAAGATGTCCACCCAGTTATTATAGAAATCAAATTCGGCGCTGATCGTTCCTGCCCTCGCTTCACGGCCGTGCGTGATAATGCTAAAGATGTTGTAGTGGAACAAACGCTCTTCACCTTCTTTAAAGCCATAGTCATCCTGCCGAGTGTTGGCGTAGCGGCTTACCTGTATAAAGGCTTCGCTCAGCGGCTCGGCTACATCAAAGTCTTTGGCTTCTACTACTACCACCGGCAGCCCATTTAAGAACAAGACAATATCCGGGATAATGCCGGTTCTGCTATTATCCGGCGTTAACAAGCGGAATTGATTGATAGCGATGAACGAATTGTTGTCGTGCTTCTTAAAATCAACCAGGCGAACGGTAGGATTTTGCTCGCCGGTCAGCTCATTCTTTGCGACACTCGTTCCTTTCAGCAATAAACGGTGAATCTCTTTATTGGCTTCGTGCAGACTTTTGCCCGGAAAGTTTTGCAACTCGAAAAGTACTTCATCCAATTGTTTCTCTGTAAGCCATTCTTTACCATCGGTTGTAAGGTTGATCTTTTTAATCGATTTCTTAAACTCGCCAGGCAAGACAACTTCTTTAAAGTTATTGCGCAGGCTTTTGCTTGCATCTTGAGGGACACCCAGGCCTTGATCGATAACTTGCCAGCCTAATTGAGATAGCTTAGCTAGAAATGGCTTTTCAACGTTTATGTATTCAGGCATGGTTAGTTGTATAATTATTTATTCTGGGATGCTCAATGCTTACTTAAAAACTGAAGTCCTAAAAGCTCCACTTTGCTTTCTTCGGATTCAAAATCAAGCTTCCAACGACTTTCCATAAATGTTAATAGCCTAATTCCTCGTTCTAGCATCTCCTCCGCAGTCCAGTTGTTATAAAGTGAAATTTCAATCTCACTATGCGAGCCATCATGATAACCTTGACGCACCTTTTTACCAGTGTCATCCAATTTTGCTTTCTTTTTATCATCAAAGCAATCATTTTGAAGACTTGAATTTATGCTCATTGATAGAGGCACTAAATTGCCCAGCGTGCCTTGCAAAATATTTACTTCTTTTTTTGAAAAGCCCTTCAGCATTTCTTTCCAGCATTTCTTGTCAGGCGTTTGCGGAAGAACGTGCTCTATCGATACTTTATCGCTATCGTTTTTTACAAATAAATTCCAGTCGATTTTCTGACTTCCTCTTGCTTCAACGAGCGACATCTCATATTCGTAAAGGAAATACCGCAGGCCATTCCACCAATAAAAAC